GTAAATAAGCATATGGGCGACTAACAGGGTATGTTTCCCTCTGGGAAGGAGGATTTGGTAGCTCAGACCGGTGTCAGCCTGTAAATATTTAGACGATATTAGTGACTTTTGAACATTCTCCGAGAGATCTGTTATTTACAGTTGTCATATGTTATTAATGCCCGTTGCCCAAGTTCCTTGGCAAATCTGTTTCATGCCTTCTGAGAAAGTAGACAATTGATAGATTGTCTTAAGGGATGGGGGAAAAATGTGAGTGGGTTTTCTAACTTGAGTTTGGTAAATCCCTCAGCGACTGCCTTATAAGACACATCGGCCTCCCTGTAACCTTGCTATACCTTAAGTATGGGGGCAGTCGAATCTTTTTCAATAAAAGACTCATAGAGAGAAGAACATGCTGCTGTTTATTATTATTATTATTATTATTATTATTATTATTATTATTTTAAGATTTAACATTTCTTGACGGTCCCTTCTCTCCTTAGAAGTTTTCCCAGAGATAACTTCACCAAGATGTCCAGTGATAGGCAAAGGTCGGATGATGAGAGTCCCAGCACCAGCAGTGGCAGTTCAGATGCTGACCAGCGAGACCCTGCAGCTCCAGAGCCAGAGGAACAGGAAGAGAGAAAACCTTCTGCCACCCAGCAGAAGAAAAACACCAAACTTTCTAGCAAAACGACTGCTAAGTTATCCACTAGTGCTAAAAGGTAATGTCTCCAAGGCAGGACTCACATTGTCAGGTTGCCTTCTGTCCCATAGGGTGGTTTTGTTGGTTTAACAACAGTGGCAATAGTTCAGAAATACTTCTCCATCAAATGTGTTTGAACTTGGATGAGCTGTCATTCTGTATGTGGTATATAAGCAGCCTTCCTACAGCTATTGACTTTAAAGCAAGGCTACTTTGTTCTGTACTGTGGTAACTTGAGGAGCTGTCTCAAATGGAGCTGAGGGTGATCCTGACAGATGAAGAGGGTAGCAAGGAAAATTTGGTGAACCCCCAATTAGATGGTACGTTGGAGAGGTTTCCTCTTGTGAGTCATGCTTGAGTGAAACTGACAATTCTAGAGAGCAGCAGTGCCTCTCTCCATAAAACTGAATGGTCAGAAATGGCAATATTTACTAGAAAATTGTTAAATACCAGGCTTGGCTATATTGGGAAGCAGGTCTTACCGAGTGCCTTAAATTGGTCCACAGTGTGTAGGACAAGACTTGAAATCTTGCAGCACAAGTGTGACTGGGTAAATTATTGTTATCCCTCCTGGTGATGGCAGATGAAACTGAAAAGTAGCCAATTACAGTTTTAGATGTTATTCGGTGTCGTGGTTGTCCTCCTTCTTCACTCTAAAACTTGTAGATATGTTTGACAGGCTAACTCAAAAGCAGGGGAAACATAACCAAGCCAGAGTTAAAGATCCCTTGTTTTCTGTTGATTTTCATATTCTGGGATGACAGATATGATCCTGCCATTGGGACTCTGAGTGATAGTCATATTGGGATACCTAGAGAAACTAGCAGTTAAAATGTGCTCACAGCATTACCCAGCACAGGTGTTTTTTTGTTGTTGTTTTTAATTGGTCATAAATGAAGGAAGAAAAATGTAAAAGCTGATGGAATGTTGCATTCTTCTTGTGAGCCAAACTCTTGGTATGGATTTTAACCACCAATCAAATGCTAACAGCTTTAGAATATTTTATTGACGAGGAACAGTGTTTGAAATAATCTAAATTGCCCGATTCATTGTAATCTTGTGGAGGAACGTATTAAATATGTCTCAAGTTTTGAAAACATCCTAAATTTGAAGAAAACCAGAGTTGCCTTTGCCTGTAACTTGAGCTTATATATTTGTCTTCTGCTGCAAATTTATAGAACTTTAAAGGTATATCTAAAAATCAGAGGCAAACAGTTACAGTCAATGTGAGTGCCAGTTTGAAATTTTTCATTGGCAAACATGTTTATAATTTTTAAACTTTTCTGACAGATAAAATATCGCCAAAAACTATTAATGTGCTCTAGTAGCAGCCTATTCATTTTTAGCTCAGTAAAAAGTGACTTGAAATCATTGTCAAAATCTCTGGTGTTTTCCCTCCTCCCTTTTTGTCTCATTTGCATATAAGCTTGAAAAGAGAATTTCTTTGGTAAAGAGTGGTTTTTAGCAGATTATATATCCTTCACTTAGTAGTCAGAAAGGACTATTTCTCAAATCAGGTGTAAATGACACACTTATTTACAATAGCACGTGAGAAAAAGAGCCGCAAAGTTTCTGCTAAGGGATTTGGGTTATGCCTCTGAGAACAAAGAGGAAGCAGCCATGTTAGCATTACTGAAGGCAAAGCCAGCCTTGCATTTAACTGCATGGTGGTAGAGGGCAGTGTAATTCCCCGGTTATTCTGTAGACTGCCTCAGATCCTTTTTGTTTGTTCTCATTTCACTTACAGAATTCAGAAGGAGCTAGCTGAAATAACCCTTGATCCTCCTCCCAACTGCAGGTAAGAAACACATTTGTTGTTTGCATTTCAAGTTGTGGAAAAATATTGAGAAGGTAATGATCTTGCCTGCATGTATGTGCAGCCTAAGAAGCTGGTTTCATTTGTTTTATCTTGTGCACTAAACTAAAATTATCTGGATTAACTAAAGATGGGAGAAAAGATAGCATGTATACATTGTGAACTTAGGAACACAGGACTTTGGCTTCTGAAATTAGTGTGGATGGTGCTGATTTTGCTTGTATGTCTGCAGAGCATTTTTGTTCACAAGTATATTTCAGTGATTTCTGAAATTTTCAGCTTTAAAGAACTGTTTGTGTGTAATCTGAACTGACCTCCAAATTTAGAAATTGCTAAATGCGGTGTTAGAAAATGTAAGTGTGGTAAACAAGAGGGTAATCGCTTCTGTTTGATTTATTAGTAACTCGCCTTAAGGATAAATTTTATAGGCTAAACTAATAGTTTCAGTTGTTTTCCGGAGGGTGCATTCTTGCAATTATTTACATTTTAAGCAATTGTCCTAATTACTCAAAATTTCTTAGTAAGTAGAGAGTAAATTGTAATTTGGAAAAAATAATTTAAGTTTATTGTGCTTAATAATGTTAAGATGCATCAAAAGTAGTCAGGGACATTTTTATCAATTTTTTTTCATTTCATCTTGCATACTATACTTTTATTTTTGAACAGTGATTTTTATGGATTATGGAATGTATCCAATTAAAAGATAAATTTAAATAATTTGCATAGAGATACTTATGATTGAGTGTCTGGTGCACTTGTGGCAATGTTATAGTTTGGTGGGAAAGGCTTTAGTGTCTAATCTGTTTCTGCTACAAATTCTGTGTTTCCTTGTGTTGATCCGACAAACCTCTGAATCAGCTATAGACATAAATGTAACCATTGACCTCTTACTGTGTACATTAATTAGATCTGTTGATAAGGTGATCTGATTCTGAATTTTCCAATGAATTTTTTGGAAATAAGCAATCATTGTGCTTATTAAAAGTAGGTATGTCCAACTAAAGTATAAACTTAGGAGGGATGCTATCCCATGCAGTAGCCACTGGCCACATGCAGCCTCACTAGTGACTAGTTCAAAATGACATGCTAAAAGTGTGACATATGCATTGGATTTTAAAAGCTTAGCAGAGCATAAAATTCTGCTGTTACATGTTGCAGTGATAATATTGTGATTATGTTTAATAAATGTCGTTAAAATTATTTTCACCTTTTTTCCATATAATCTAATTACTAGAAAATTTACAACTAATTATGAGTGAGTACTGTTATGTTTTTTGCTGCTTTAAAAATAAATGAATTGAAGTATTTTTGTCTAACCTCCTAAAAGGTATTTAAATCTGTTCATTTGAAAAGGTCAAGTTAAGTTTGCTCTCTGGAAGAATCACTTAATTTGCAATATATGTACTTATTTTACCATTACGAGAGCCGTACGATCAGTACAAAACTCTCAGATATTTAAAAGTTGCACATAAGATCAAACATTTTCAAAGGTGGTTGACTTTTCTGCAAATAGCACAATCCAGGGGACGAGAATATATTTACAGAATGTGGTAGACTTGTGTTGACTGCCCTCAGAGCCATGCTGCAGTGGTGAAGGAACCAGCTTTTACATTGAATGTAAGAATGTTTGCACAATGTCACTGAGAATTATTTTAGAGGAAATAGAAGCTTTCTTAGCATTTGGCCATTAGACTAGTGGACTAGTGAGACTTTGGGCATGCTTGTGCACAGCTGTTTGTGCCTGTTTTCCCTTGCTGCACTTGATAATGTCAACTATTACAGATGATGTCTTTCAGTTCTGTATTTCCTTAATATCTGTATTTCTTTGAAGTTGCATAAGTAATCAGAAAACAAGTGGGCAATGTAAATTGTTTCTTGGCACTTGGAAGTTAGGCTTTCCTCTCTTGTATGTCTTACATGTAAAAAGACCAAATACTTGAACATGTCTAATTTTGTGTGGATGACACATTCCCTTATCTAGGGTTCTTGTAGATTGAGTGTTTATAGTTCATGAAGTCTAGAATTTTGACAGACAAGCCTAAATTTGTATTGTATTTTTTTTTTTTTTTTTGTCTTCTGGGAAAAGAATACCACAATGTTCTTGAAATTCATAGGTGTTTAAATGCTTATTGTAAAGCTGTGGAGATTGTATACTTTAATCTTTATTTAGGCTACCATTAAAATGAAATTCTATATTCTTAAGTACATTTAAGATATGTAGGTTTATGTTGTCTGCAGTGTAGAAGATCTAATACTTTTGACTTTTTGTGTAGTTACTTATCAGAACACCATTATGGTTTTGAATGTGATTTTCTTTTTTTTTTTTTTAACAAGCTTGTCAAAGTATGTGAGAGATTTAATTCTTCCTCAGGGCAGAAATGTAAAGTATATCTGTATCTCAGGAAAAAAGTTGAGTGAAATCCAGGAAAATTCAGAAAAAGCCAAAGTACTCAGACTAGGAAGAGTTTTCTCACATTTCTTTTTTAAATTAGCATTCTTAAGTTAGGTCTAATCACCCAGAATTGTGTGGTGATACTTTATGATCTAACAAAGCTTGCCCGAAGATCAGAGCACAAAGCTAGCCATACTAGAGGCCAGGGAGTGGTGGCACACACCTTTAATCCCAGTACTAGAGAGGAATATAAGACAGGAGTCAGTCAGTCTGCAGTCACACTGAGGACAGGATTGCCCCTTTTGGTCTGAGTGTTGGTAGAGGTAAGAACTCTAGTGGTTGGGTGCTTTGCTTTTCTGATCTTCAGCTAGAACCCCAGTATCTGTCTCTGGGTTTTTATTATTTGTGCTACAGAATTGTGTGCCCTTAAGCTTCTTTTAGTTGGTGTAGTTGAGTAGATTTTTTTTTTTTTTCCTGGTACTAAGATGCTCTGTCCAGTGATTTGACTGTGTTTCAGTTCTGGAATTAGGAGGTGCTGCTGCTCACAGGCCAGATAGGACTCCCTTTTCAGTTCAGTCTGTTTGGAAACACCCTCACAGACATGCCCAGAGGGGCATCTCCCAGGTGATTTCAAACCCAGCAGGTTGCTCCTGAAGATTAGCTGTCACAGATGCAGTGTTTATTTATTGGTTTAAATTAATAGTCTTGCAATCCAGGCCTCAGATTAGGCAAATATCAATTATATATATGCTAGAAAACTTGAAAGAAAATTGTGTAGGCATTGCTGTGCTTTTAGAGAAACCTGTTGACATGACCATGGAGTAATGTGCTAAAAGGATGACCTCATCTTACAGGCACCACTTGTAGAAACTGCAAGTTTAGAAAGGTGCTATGTTTCTAATTTAACCCCTTATTGCTCTGTATATATAAGCAAGTATGCTTCTAAAATACTCTTTAGCATTCTAAGATTGACTCTATTATGAACAGCCTTTAAGGGTATTGGTAGATAGGTTTTGGATGTAGGAAATGCCTTAATTGAGGTAGATACTAGAGTTTTAAGCTTATAGTGATATTTTTCAGGTAAAACATAAAATAAGGTGCTTACAGATTTTGACAGCTTACCGCTGGAGAAAAAGTAAAACTGGAAGCCTGAGTTCTAAAGCTGATAACCTCTCTCTTGTTCGTAGGCTCTACCATCCTCTGGACCTTACTTAAACTGCTTTTTATGGTAGATCAGACCCTTGCTACTGGTAGGGGCACCTGTAGTCTGTGCATCACAAGTGGAATTGTGAGGAGTACAGAGTATCACTCCCCACTTGCTTTGCCCTCATCCATCTTCTACCAGAGGTGTGGAATCAGAACCTTGAATGTAACAAGACTTGTAACAAACAAGTTTTGTTTGTTTAAGGTTTGAAAAGTCCTAGTGTAAAAATAAGACTCTCTGGGTTCAGATCCTTGCTCTGCTGCTACTTAGTAGAATGTCACTGTTAATAAGCTGTACTATATTTCTGCCTTCCATTTTCTCAGTTCTAAACTGAGAATTCCAAGAAAATAATTATTTTGGATTGGAGAAAACATTAAAGATAGTATATGTTTGTCCTTATTTCAGTTGTGGTGGTAATTCTAATATAATTGTAAGTTAGCATTTTTGATTATAAAAAGAAATTGATATTCACAGTAATGTTACTTTCTGCATATAAACCAATGTAGATGAAGAACTTTAGACTGTCGTAAGTCTAAATTGACTTTCTCCCACTCAGTGGAGTAGCTGAAAACAGTACCCTCTGAAAGACCACAGTTTTATTAGGATCTGTTAACACTCAGTTCAAATAATGTCAGAAAGTGTGTGGGAACAGTAAGTGCTTTTGAAAAGCTACACCCTGCAAATTCTGTTTTTTCTATATGTAATCATTTGGTACCTTATGCCTTATTCTCATCTTGAATGTGATGCTGAAGCATTGCGTTTGGTTATCAGGAAGATCAACAAGATTTGTTTGGGTGTTCGGATTGAGAAGGCAGAACTTGACCTTTTGCTTTTTACAAATATGAGAGAAAACACCAGGCCACTGGTTTAGAGAATAGAATATTATCGCTTTCTTCCCATGTCTTTCAATGGGGAAATATGTTTGGACGTTTTACTAGAAGCCTAGATACTAGAAGATGAAGTGTATTGAATTTTTTAATATTTTTTCCTTTGCTTCTTGATCAGTGGTTTTGTACTGGGGCGTCATCCTTGTCCTTTATCTTGGGCATAGTTGCCAATGCCCAGAGACATCATTGTTCTTGAGAATTGGAAAAGGAGGCCATTAGATTTAGTGGGTAGAAGTCATAGATGCTTCTGTATCCCCTGTAAAACATAACTCCTTCACCCCCCAAGAATTATCAGAACAAAAGCATCGGTAATGCTGGAAGGACCATTGTGGACATTTGATCCTGTATTCTGCCTCATAAGTCAATGGATAGTTTGCTTTTGACTGTTTTCCTAGTGATGTCAGCTTTAATGCATTCATTCATTTATTCATCTCCTAATGAGCCCCCTCTCTCTTGCCAGTCCTATTAGAGTTTATGTGTCTTACATTATGATGTATGA